GCGGGCCGGGACCGAGGTAGGCGCGGGGCGTGGGGTCGCATGGCGCGGGGAGCTGGGTACGGGGCGCGCGGGCTGCGGGGCACCGGGAGCTGGGTGCAGGGCGCGAGCTGCAAGGCGCGGGGTCCGGGACGTGCGTGACAGGGTCCAGGGTACGTTGTCCCGGACGCGGGCTCGGGTGGAAGTTTCCATCCCTACTTGGCCCGGGCCCACGCTGGTGTTGAGGACCCGGGCCCACGCCAGCTGGGGCTGTGCAAGACCTAGCTCCTCGCCCAGGCTGGGCAGGGGCAGCGGTCGCCGAGCATGTTTGTTTGTGAGGTGCAGAGATTCCCGCCCCTGTGTCTCCAGCTTCGCTGCCTTCTCAGGGCAGTGACCCCCTCGTTCCCCCTCAACGTGGATGTGAGAAGGACCCGGTGGCCGCGTCCCCACGCGGTGTCCCCCAGGGGGTGTCCCCTAGGCAGTGTGCCCCAGACCCTCTGCCCACCTCGGTCCAGCCAGCCTGCCCTGCACCTGGACCATCGCTGGGTCTGTGTCCAAGCAGCGCAGCAGCCCCGAGGTCCTGGCAGCGACCTGTCATGCCGCACTGCCAGCCTGCAGGCCCCAGACTCGGTTTCCCGGTGGGTGCCATGGCCCTGGAGGTCCTGGGGCTTCCTGAGGGTGTTTCCATGGTGACACCCGTGATACTGCTGTGGCACCTCCAGACCCTATCCCAGGAGGAGGAGCCCAGAGTGGGAGGTCCTGGGCCTTTTGGGGGCAGGGACTCGGGTGGAACCTTGGAGACGTGGCCTAGTGGGGCTGGGGTCCTGCCTGAGTGCAGTGGGCAGGCTGTGGGTGTCGTGAAACGTGTTCGTGTGCACAGGTGAGCAGGTGTCCCCAGGTGTCCCCTGCCTGAGAGCCAGCAGCCAGGTTGTTTTTCTCTGGGAGGCGTCTTGGAGCTGCCAGCCTCATGGCTCCCATCCACCTGGCAGTTGTGGAAACCGAGCAGAGCCGCTCACACAGCAGAGAGGATTTTGGTGTAGCTTAGCAACTGCAGTGGAGGAGGATGGGGAGGAGGAGAAAAGGAGGAGCAGAGGAGGGAGCGGAGGAGGAGGGAGAGGAGGGAGAGGAGGAGAGGAGGAAGGAGAGTGGGGAGAAGAGGAGGAGGAGGAGGGGTGGAAGAGAGGGGAGAGGAAGAAGAGGGAGTAGAAGAATAGGACAAGGAGGAGGAGGAGGAAGAGAAGGACAGGAGAGGAGGAGGAAGGGACATTTTGCCCCCCGCCCCCGCACTGATGCAGGCAGTGGCCTGTGGCAGCAGGGTGCAAGGGCTGCACCTGCACCTGTAGTCCCCCGTGGGAAGGGCTGGGGCACCCCCTGGCCAGGTAGGAACAGACCTGGGAGTTCTGTGGCGTCTGGGATGCAGGAGAGGCCCAGGGATCTCTGTATACACCTGTCCCCACCTGTAGGGGATAGCACTGGACAGCTGGAGCACTGGACAGCTGGGGCACTGGACGGCTGGGGCACTGGACAGCTGGGGGGCTCTGGATACTGGGGGACTCTAGGGCACTGGGTTTGGCTTTTGATGTTCAGCTTCAGAACTACATGCTTCCTGGAGGCTGCATGTGGGAACAGGCCCAGCCAGGGTGCCCTGGAGAGCAGGGCAAGACTTTGAGTCCCTGCACCCCAGAGAGCCCTGCCCAGAGGAAGGGAGGGGCAGGAGGGCCTCATGTCGCACCCCAGCCTTTCTGCCCCCTTGTCCCTGAGGCCATCGTTAGTGTCCCATGGCTCTGGTTTTGTCAGTGCCTCCGCCCACTTTCCTTTGCAGGGAGGGTGCTCAGCAGGGTGGAGGAAGGAAGGGAGGGAGGCACCTGTGGGCAACCGTGGGCACCGAGGTGCAAGAGAGTGGATATGGTGTCCTGGCCTGGTGACCCAGCATGAGCTGGTGCCACCTACCCATAGGATGTCCCTGTGCTCTGGGGCATCTTGACCTGTTCAGGCTGTCAGGGACTCGGGTCCTAGGCACGGAGACGATCCGGTGCTGACACCTGCCAAAGAGGGTCCCCTGTGATGGCCCTCACAGCCTGAGGAGGACAGTGGAGAGAGAAGTCACAGAGACTTGAAGGGCCTCCAAGAATCATGTGGGTGCTTGGAGTGTGACCCCACCAAGGAGGTCCCCGTTGCCCCTCTGCAAGGGTGTGGAGGAGCCAGAGTACAATGAGTGATGGCCAGGGCCCAGGGCTGCTGGCCGTCAGGGCTGAATCCAGGGGTGGAGGATGGGCTGAGAGGACCAACCAGGGTCCAGCCCCTGCGTCCCTCCCCCACCCGCCCTCGGGCTCCTGCATCCCCTGCGATGCCAGCCCCTGGAGAAAGTGCTGCACAGAGAACTGGCTGCATCGTAAAAGCAGCACCTGTCCTTGCTCACCCACGTCCTCACCTCCCACGCATTCGCTGCCCACAGCCATCTGGCCCGCATCCCTTCAGTCTCAGGGCTGGGTCTGACTCTAAGCCTGGCCTCTGTGCTCGGTCCTCCTCCCTGTCCCTGGCCTTCCGGCCCGGCTCCAGCCAGTAAGCCCCATGGCTCCCTCTTCCTGTCCTGGGACTGTGCACCACTCCCCACCCACAGCTTCCACCTTCTGGTGAGCAGTGTGCTCTGCCTGCAGGATGCTTCTGGGGACTGTGGGTGGCTGGTCTGCTGTCACCATGCTCCAGCCGTGCCTGCCTGCCTCCCAGGCCTTCCTCCTCTCCTCATCCTCCCCTGCTCCTGCTGCCTCTGTCCCTGGGTCTGGATGGTGACTCCTGTGGGGACCTCTGGCTCTCAGCATCTTTCAGGCAGGGTTGATACACAGGTGCCGAGGCCTCTGCTGTAAGGCTGGTCCCTGGGCAGCTTGGAGATGGGGACTGTGCAGTACATGGGGATGCTGGTTGGACAGGGGTGTAGACCCATGGAGATTCAGGTTGGTCATGTTGCGGTCCCACTGAGGGACAGGGGAGGGGAGCATGTTGGGGGGCATTGGATGGTGGAGGGGCACTGGACAGCTGACAGGTGCTGGAGGAGTGGGGGTGGGACCGGAGGCCAGCAACTGCTGTTGTCACCACCACTTCCGTTCCCAGTGTCACCCTCAGACTCTACCTTGAAGAGAGTTCTCCCTGGATCCAGTTGCCGTGGCAACACTGCTAAAGAGTGGCTTGAGGAAGAGGCTGAGGAGGAGGCAGAGAGTGCTAGGGAGGATGCTGGGGTGTGCTGGGGTGTACTGAGGATGCTGAAAGTGTCCTACAGAGGGTGCTGGAAGTGCTAGGGGCTGCTGGGGGTGCTGGGACATACTGGGGGCTGCCAGGGAGGGGATGCCTCCCAATGTAAATCAGATCTGGGGACCTCCCCCACCCTCTGCCCATGGGAATCTCCAGATCTCTGGTGCCCAGATCCACCCATGTGACCATCAGATGGAGCCTGGGACCCAGAGCTGGGGCAGACCTGGAGGTTCTTCCATCAGGGCATGAATGCATCAACTTGGAGCTGCTGCTGTTACTGTGGGAGCCCAGGCCTCCTGCAGGTGGCCTTCACCCTGCAGGCCCTTGGGCTGTTTCGCAGGCACAGCTTGGGTACACAAGGTGTCGCTGTGCAACCTGGCACTGGCTGGTGAGGGATGGGGGTTGGGGGTGGGAGAGTGGGCATTGGCCAGGGCAGAGGGCTCTCCCGGCTGCGGGACCCAGGCCTATGCCCTTGGAGCAGGGCAGGCAGATCTGTTGGGGCAGGGCTGGACCAGGGAGACTCAGCAGAAGGCTGCGGGGCTTCAGGGTTCTTCCTGGGTCTCTGCCTCAGAGTGGGTGAAGTCATTTTTTGTCATTATTTCTGCTGCTGGCAGTGGGGACTCCACTGGGCTCAGTGAGGACTGGGGTTCCTCAGGCCAGGCCCCTCCGGGATGGTGGCACAGATGTGGACAGTGGCCCAGGCTGGCAAGGAGGGCACAGATTTGGCTGTTCTCCACAGAGCACTTTGGTCCCTAGAGGGACCCCTGCAACCTGCATCCCCTCTGGGCCACCCTTTGAGGGGCTGGAGGGCCCATGAGGAGCCGTGTGGATACACTGGTGGGGGCACCTTGGTGGGCAGAGAAGCATCACTGTCTTAGCTCTCGTGAGCACAGCTGGGGACAGTCACAGAAACTCAGCTCTGAAGCCTGGTCTGGGAAGTGCACAGGCATGAATCACGAAAGGCCCCAGAGGAGACAACACTGGGACTGTACAGAGTTTAGGGTCACTTGAGGAAACACAGGTTCCAGGGTGGGGATTGGGATGGGGGTCAGCAAGGGGTCGGTTCCTGTGGATGGGGTGGCGACCTGTGGATGCCTGGGAGGAGCAGGACTCTGGCTTCCCCCTGGAGGCTGTCTGCTGGTGACCCGGTGGACACCAGGGTTTTATGCAGCTCTCCGGCCTTGATGACCCCTACTGTGGCCCCCGAGCTGTGTGAAGGTGATGGGGACACTGTGGGAGAAGTGGAGGGATTTTTGAGGCAGAACCCACAGGAGCAGGGCCCAAACAGGTGCAGTTTGGGGGTAGGAGAGGTGGCAGGTGGTGTGGCCCCCACTGGGCCTGCTGTGTGCCATGTCCCTCCACCACAGGGTCCGTGGGA